GCCAAAAAATTCTTTTATTTTTCTGCTCTACCATCCTTAATATACAGGTTTCAATCCCTAGCTTAAGATGGCTGCTTCAGCTCCAGCCTTTACATCTTCATTCCACACAGCAGGAAAGAGGAAAAAGGAAAAGAGCACTCTATTGATATTTAAGGACACTTTCCAGAGTTACATGTACCTTCCCATTTGTCAGAACTTGGTAACATGGTCACACTTAATTATAGGAGGGTTGCAATGTAATCTTTGTCTTCGGTGACAATGAGCTCAGTGACCCAAGACAAAGGGGTCTTATTTAAAAATTGGGGGTCCTAGCCATGGCTGGCATAGCTCAGTGGATTGAGCGCGGGCTGGGAACCAAAGTGTCCCAGGTTCGATTCCCAGTCAGGGTACATTCCTGGGTTGCAGGCCATAACCCCCAGCAACCGCACATTGATGTTTCTCTCTCTCTCTCTCTCTCCCCCTCCCTCCCTTCTCTCTCTAAAAATAAATAAATAAAATCTTAAAAAAAATTGGGGGTCCTATTCCTGAGAAGAAATAGTAAATACATATTAGAGGACTACTACCAATATATGCTACTTTTTATCTTACTGTCATTTAACTGTCATAAGTTACTAGGGGCCAAGACTGAAAAAATAGTTAGTAAAATGGTCCTATTGATGTCAAAAGTATGCAATGAGATAATTTTGATCCTTTTTTTTAAAATTCAGATTAGAGAACATTTTATTACAGTACTTAATTTCTATCACTTAGTCATCCTGATCACAGTGTAATAAGAATCTGATCAAAGGCCATTAAGTACCATCTGGATACCTGTGGGTTATTAGGACCTCCTCAATCATTCACCTTCAACTAACTGAGAAGTGGGATATGGGGGGATTCCAGAGATACAGGGAAGATTTTAGCAATTTGGAATGTAGTACAAGAGAGATAAAATTTCCTATTCAAATGAATTAATTTAGCAGGACTCTTTGATGTTGTTAAGTTCTTGAACATTATCATGAAATATAACAAAAAACACACTGTGAATTCAAATTCAGTGACAAGCAGAAAACTAACAAACTAAAAATGGTATATCTGCCCTGTACCAAATGTTCTAATGGAGGAAAGTTAATCTATATTATAGATATATATTCTGTCTGGAAAAAGCTGAGCCATTGTTAATATAAAAAGTTTAAAAGAACAGTTTGCACAACATTGATGTAACCTGGCAGCCAAGGTGGACTGGAATGTGCATGTATAAACAATGATAACTTCACTGTACTAGTCAGTGGGCGCAGTAGACACCATTAAGTGAGCATGTGTACTGTGTGGCGTTCACATGACCCTTTCTTAATGTTTTACATAGAGTGAGACTATTTTTAGATGCTATGTTGACTTTATTAATTGACTCTAAAATTTTAAAATATTATTAATGTTATGGCATATAACTTTTTAATAAAGGAACAATAAAAATATAAAGTTGCATATGACACCAAAGACACAGACAACAAAATTAAAAAATAGACCAATTGGACTTCATGAAAATTAATAACTTTTGAGTATCAAAACACTCTATCAACTGAGTGAAGATTCTATGGAATGGGAGAAAAATATTTGCAAATCATATATATGAGAAGGGATTAATATTCAGAATATATAAAGAACTCAGCAATAAAAAAGCAAACAAACTAATTTTAAAAAGGACAGAAGATGGACCTGAGTAGACATTTCTCTTAAGGAAATATACAAATGGTCAATAAACACGTGAAAAGATGCTCAGCATCACTAATTGTCAGGGAAATGCACATTTACCTGGTGTAAATCACTTCACACCCATTAGGATGGCTACACATATACATTTTGTATACATGCAGAAAATAACAAGGGTTCGTGAGGGTGTGGAGAAACTGGAACCCTTGTAGATTGCTCAGGTGATGGAAAATAGAACAGCCACAGTGGAAAACAGGGTGGCAGCCCTTCCCGAAATTAAAAATAGAATTACCATATGATCTAGAAGTTCCATCTCTGGGTATACCTAAAAGAATTAAAAGAAAAAAAAATTTGTACACCCATGTTCATAGTGGCATTATTTTCAATAGCCGAAAGGTGGAAGCAACCCAAGTGACCCAAGGTTATCCATTCAGCAACAGATTAATGGATTAACAAAACATGATGTCACATACAATGGCATATTATTCAGCTTTATAAAGAAAGGACATTCTGATATATGTTATGGATGGATCTTGAAGACATTAGGCTAAGTGAAATAAGCCAGTCACAAAAGGACAAATACTGTTGGATTCCACTTAGATGAAGTACCTCAAGTAGCCAAATTCATGGAGACAGAAAGCAGAATGGTGATTGCCCAGGGTTACAGACAGAGGAGAAATATCTGGTTATTGTTTATGAAGTTTTAGTTTGGGAACATGGAAAAGCCCTAGAGATGGATGGTGGTGATGGTTGCATACAAATGCGAATATGCTCAATGTGACTGAACTGTATACTCAGAATGGTTGAAATGGTAAGCTTTATGTTATATGTATTTTACCACACTAAAAAAACAGCTAAATTTTTAAAAATGTGGTATGTTTACAAAATGCATGTGTATAATCAGGCTTCAATCCAATTCCAGAGTTCTCCAAGAATCTTGATCCAATTTCGAAATTCTGTAAAAGTATTTCAAAACATACACAAAAATAAAGAGAATAACATTGAAGAACCCTATAAAGTTGTTCTTCAACCAACTTTAATGCCTCAATTTATAATAAAATCTTTTTGTGAATGGTTAGTCCATTACCCCAATTGTTGAGTACCATTCGTACATGGCACTCAAGCCCTTACTCCAATGCTTTGAAAAGCCAACTATAAACTTTCCATATCTGTGAACTTTTTATCCAGATATGGATGACTCAAGCAAAGCCTTAGAAAACCTGCTGTATCCCAGTCTCTAAGAAAGCAGCAGCATTGTGTAGAGCGGAGTTTGGAAACTTTTCTGTAAAGAGCCAGGCAGTAAACGTTTTAGGTTTTTGGGCCACATTAGGCTTGTTGAACGTTCTTGTGTTTTGCATTTTCTTTTAAAATATCCCTATAAAATTGTAAAACAAAAAAACTTTCTAGCTTGTGAGGCTATACAAAACAAGGCTGCTTCTAGGTGTGGTCCAAGGGCTATAATTTGCTGATCCTGGTAGGCCTTTGAGGCCCACTGATGCCAACCCACTGCAGCATGGCAGATGTGGGCATCTGATCATGAACAGCCGATCTTGAGGGTGGCAGCAGCCTCTGTCTGGGCCTAATTCAAATAGGATGGTTTCAAGTCTGATTATATAAATGCATATGTATAGAAATACCCACCTAACAACTTTTTAAACCATGTTTTATTGTGGTAAAATTTTATTGTGCTACTTCATGTAAGTGGAATCTGATAGGTCTATTTGTCCGGTTTACCTGTACTTCCTGGGACACTGAGAAGGAAGGGTTTAAAAGTGAGCCACCCTAAGAAAAATAGAGAGTTGGTCCTAAGTGACAGACACCTAGAATAGTCTCAGATCTAATCCTAGCATATATATGCAAGAAACACCCTTTTCTTGAGGAAATTTAAGTGATATGTTTCCTGTAAAAAGAAGAATCTAAATTACTCATCTACTACAGATATAAATTGGTATAAACACTTTGGAAGATATCTTGGTAGTATCTAGTAAAATCGAATATGGGCTTATCAATGATCCAGCAATCCCATCATTAGCTATTTTACCTAGAGAAATTCTTGTACATTTGTACCAGAAGATACATGTATAAGAATAGTCACAGCATGTAGCATGTGTCCAAGTGGACTGTGTTAATCTACTCAGATCCTAGCCCTGCTGCTTACACAGGTGTGTGACCTCAAACAGGTTACTTATTTCTCAGTGCCCTGTTTACCTCATAAAGTTCTTATAAGGATTAAAGAAATTAATTTACATAAAATGCTGGGCACACAGCAAATGCTATATAAGACTTAGTTCTTGTTACAACTCATGTTACAGCAGCATTGTTCATAATAGCAAGAAAATTGAAAACAATCCAAACCTCCATCAACCGAGGATGGGCAAATAAACTGTTGTATGTTCACATTATTAAATCCTATGTAACATCGGAGTAAAAAGAATGAACTAGAGCTATATGTATCAACAGGTATAAATCTTCGAAACAGTGTTGATTAAAAGGAAAATGGAACAACATGTAGTATGGCTTCGATGTTACAAAATAAGCAAAGTTAAACCTATTATATAGAGATATACACATAGGTAGCAAAAGTGCAAAGGAAAGCAGAGGAATGGGAAAGAAAACAGGATAGTGGACAGGGAGATAGGATTGGAAAACATCTCCAGTTGCATGTGTGAAGTTATTAAAGTTTAGAAATTGAGTGGTAGGTTTCTGGGTGTTGTAAATGTAGAACCACAAATCCTAGTGAACCAAATCTAAATGTAAAGGTAAATGTAAACATGAGGTAAAATTCACACAGATGTGAACTGAGCTTGTTGAAATTTAGAGAATAAAAAACCAAAAAGGAAACAGTTAATGTGCTCGTTAGAGATGTCATTAAGGAACTATATTTAGTTGAATGTAGTTTGCTCTAGAAAATACTTTTTTGTTGAAAACTTATCAGCAATGACATACTTCTAATTAGAACATTTATCTTCATAAAGTCAAAGTCCGTTTGACTTGGAGGGTCAAAGTAGCTGGACTAAATCATCCTGTACATGGTTAACAATACCTTAACAATACAACAAGCACTGAATTTACATAACAAGATCTACACATTCACAGGAAAAACAACAGTCCTCTATGGGAACCGGTGTCAGGAAAACCTAAATAGTCAAATTGTTAAAAGGTAAAATATCAAGAGAGTAATTCTTCTCTAGAGATAAGAGAAACAGGGAAAATACCAGGAACAACTGCTATGTTATAAAAAAGAAGAGATGAAATCAGTATTGAAGCGTTCTTTTGGGTAGTAAGCTTGATTTACTTTCCCCAAGATTTAATTAACGTGGTACATTGTTTTTGGAGTGGACATATCTTTGTACAGCTTCACTTCCAAAAGTCACTGCATACTTAGATCGTTTTCCAGGAAACAGCATATACATTGCCTTCTGGATATCTTCATGGGTGAGGGTACAGCGATTTCTGAAACACATCAGATTGTAGGCTTGCGTAGAAATGCATTCAAAAATGTTGTTGATCATGGTGTTCATGATGTCCACAGTGTGAGATGATATACTCTTCTGGGGATCCACTTCTTTTAGGACCCTGCGAATGTAGAGTGAGTAATTTCGGCTAAAGTCAGTGCTGGACTGTGATCTCTTTCTGGAGCTTGGTTTTTGATGTCTTCTGGAGCCCTTATTCTTCTTGGTGTTGGATTTGGCCATTGCAGATGTTGTTCTCCTTAACAGTTAAGAGTGGAGAGGAGAAGGGTCTGTGAGTGCGGGGGAGCTCTCATATTTAAGCTAGAGTGTCACAATCAGACTTCTGGAGCTTCTCTCTGATTGGAGGTTACTGGCCCTATGTCACAATCACCTAGCAATGGCACTGATTTGTTGTTAATGGAAAAATCTTGTTCCTGGCCCACATAAAGCTTTCCTAAGGAGGTGAGTGTTGCAGAACTGAGACTAACTTCACGGTAGAAAAAAGTACTCATTTCCTATTTTATTTCTTAGCAATTTGCAAGCATAATATATACAATATTTTCAGAATTGAACAAACCTCATCAAACTGGAAGGTTGGTGGTAGTAAAATAAGGGAAAAAGTGCCATATACCTGGGGGAGTCTCTGTTTATAAAAGTATTCATAAACTCATTTTATAATCAAATGAAATATTAAATAAAGCCATTAAAATCTCCAAATGATTATTTTATAACAAAATAAATATGTATAGATAAACTCCTTTTTAAAATTGTGACTTACTTTAAAAGTGATTTCTAAATTTTTTCTTGATGCCAACTCTTTAAGAAAACTACATACAACTATAGAATAAGACAAAAACTCCCCTATTTTATTGTTTACATTATGATGGAGTGTGGGCTATGTTTATTAATTTTTTGTAATGATATTAATATTATTAAAAATCCACAAATGTTGTCACGCGTCCTGTTTTTTACTTGAAACTCTAGGTCTTCTGTCATGATTAACTAAAGTGAGTGTAGAGTCCTTCTTGCTCACACATCATGTTGAGATACTCACTCTTGAAAAAAATTCCCCTCTGCCTTCTTAATCAAATTTATCCCTGAATAAGATAAAAAATAAATAATATAAGCAACTATAAAAATTAACAACTCACAAGCACTTCAATAATTCACAATAGCCACAACTATTAATGCTACCACAAAAGGTCCTTCATTATGAGCTGCTTCGCAGATAAGGTAGACTGGGCTATGCATGATTTCTCAAATCCTAGATATAGCCCCTCCCCTTTCTCTTTCACTCAAGAAAGAAAATCTGATATAAAGTGGTAAGAATAGTGCTGTTATATTGAAAATTTTGAACAAGCTCTAATTTCCAAAGACAATGGGTATCAATTGTAAATGTCCACACTTTATTGCTAGTAACACATCCCAGACAGGGCGTCATCACACTAAGATGAAGGCTACTGCTTCTGCCTATGCTTTGAAGTAATGGATCTCCCGTTAGCTTTTGCTAGTTTTGCTTTCAGAATTTCTGTAGATATAATCACTTAGTGTAATAATAGCACAGCTTTATTTACTATCATTAGAAGAGGCTATCAGATGGAGAATGTTTATTCCCTATTCCATGCTGAAGAACTTTAACTAAGCATTATTCTCTTGGCCTCTTCCTCCCTCACTCCTCTTGGGAACAGTCCTCCTTGAGAGAGGCAAAGTGGGGAGATGACAGGAATGCCTATCTCAGCCCCTTGTGGATGCTTATTGGGATCTGACTGTGGGCAGCTCTGCTTGTGGGGCTGGATCACTTTTGGTAGCTGATGGGAAGTGAATAGGTCTTTCTGCATAATACAGAGCTGCTGCATTAGGCAGGCTGTTGTTGCTCCATACATAAGGGCTATTCTCCAAACAGTTTGCAGTAATAAAGCCGACATTTTGATATCCATCTTTCTGATCCCTATGACTCTCTCAGTTGGTTCTGTGTTTGGGTGGGAAGAAAGAAGGGTGAAATATTTTGCAGTAGTTAAAAAAAACACTTTAAAGCCAAAATAATGAGTTGTATGCTAAAATACTGGCTAATCAGGAAGTTCAGGAAATGAAGAATACAGATTCTGTAAAATTTCTGGTTACTTTGGGGTTAAACTGAATTCTTTTTTAAATTTTAATAAGTTATTCTAAAATATGTATGAGTTCACCACTGATATGTTGGGTTTTCTTTTCCTTCTCCCTTTCTCCTCCTCCAGACAGTCTGGAACAAACAACAGACACCTTTAAGCATAATGATCTTCAGGGCATGCCTGTTAAATTATCAGCCTGAGCATGCAGCAAATATAATTATTTTGCATCTATCATATCCTGAGAATGGACACTGTGAAGCCCCCATTTTCTCTCCCTTTTTCCTCTGCCCTTGCCCTCAAGGTCATAGCCTTAGAATTAAGCCTGGTGTCCTTTAGCAGGAGACACAGAGAGTGAAAGGGGTGATGCCGAATGGACCATAAGTCCCGGGTCTCCAAGCTGTTCAAGTGTAGCTGGAGTCCAAAGTTAAAAACCATGCATTATTTAGGCTTTTGTTCTGTGCTTGATCACACTATGTCTGTTTGGGGTGTGGGTTGTATGTCTTTCATAATTGAGTATGTATAGTACTAGAGTTACAACTGCTTATTCTTTCCTTTATGATTGTTGGTCTTGTTACGACTCAAGGTCATCATCAAATCTCTCAGTGATTATTCTGCAATGACTGCAGCAGAGGTGACGTTAACTCAAAGCTGAAAACATGTACCCGCAGATATGTATGTACTCTGGAAACATTTTCACAGCCACTGTATTACTTTCCTATTGCTGCTGTAACAAATCACCACAAATTTAGCAGTTTAAAACAACGTGTTTAAAACAACACAGATTTATTATGTTACAATTCTGGTGTTCTTCTAAGTCTGAATGGGTCTCACTGGGGTAAAACCAAGGTGTTAGCAGAACTCTATTCCTTCTGGAGGCTCTAGGGGAGAATCTTGCCTTTTCCAGCTTCTTCAGACTGCCCATATTCCTTGGCTTTCCCTCCATCTTCAGTGATGGGTAGTTGAGTCTTTCTCATGCCACATCACTCTGATGCTGATTCTCCTGCCTGCCTCTCTCACTTCTAAGGACCCCTGTAATTACGTTGAGTCCATCTGGACGATCCAGGGTCACCTCCACATCTCCAGATTCTTAATTTAACCACATCTTCAAATTTCATTTTGCCAGGTAAGGTAACATATTCACAGGTATGGGGGTTTAGGATATGAACCCTTTGGGGGCATTACTCTGCTCACCACAGCCATTGTGAGCAGAATGAGATTGTCAGGGAATATCTGGGTCACCAAAGGAGTAGAAGTTAGAGATGAATAATACTATCCTTAGAAGATGACCAGAAGTATATTTTGAAAATACTTTCTTTATATGGGGTAACTTTCTTATGATTTGCTTATTTTTTTCTAAAAATTGAGAGTTGTCTTAGATTTTTACAGAGAAGGTGAGGTTTTAGTTGAATCTTGATGGACACAGAAGTTATTTGAGCAGATAAGGGTGGTGCTGGGGATAAGAGGAGACCTGGGTGTGTCAATAGGGCCTTTGTTTTTGCATAAGAATGGAGGATCTTGGTCTGGAAGAGCTTGATCTTAACTGCCTTTTCTTGCCTGGTAGCACTTAGGTGTTGGAGACTGGGGTCTCCAGAAAGAAACAAAGGAAGAGTATTTGCCAGGGGGGAATCCAGGTTTCAGTTAAGGCTGTGGTTCTCAAGCTTGGACCCACAATAAAGTCACCTAAGGGGATTAAAATAAACAAACAAGCCAACCACGCAAAATCTAGACCCTAGACTAATTGAATCAGGTTCTGCAGGAGTGTGGCTAGGCCTTTTTTTTTTCTGTTAAATTCTTTTAATTGTGCAGCCAGCGTTGAGAGTCACTGGTTGAACTTAGTGAGAGCAAAATCTTTAAAGGTATTGGGGAGCTTTTTGTAAACTCCATGGGTGGAAAACACACACACTAGAATGGGAGTGGTAAGGGAAAGAGTTAAGAGAGAGGGGAGAAGTAAGAAGAATTAGATGAGAAGGGCAGTGTAATAAGAGGTGAGCAGATGAGAAGTATGATGATGGGAAGAGTGGCTGCTGAGGGTGACAATGTTCTCTGGTCATGGGACTTCAGGTACAGAGACATAAAGAGATGCAGACTTTGATGTAAACTTGCTTCCATGCATTTAAATTGAGACTAGCTTTGCCAAAAAGTTCTTTCAGTGCTTAGCAAGGAGCAGAGCTGAGAGAACTGAGGAAGGGCAGTGAAGGAGGGTGGAGCCACACCGAGACCCACTTTACTGTGGAGTCTTATCTGTCTTATAATATTTCCACATTTGGTGGGGAGTAAAACAAACAAACAATTTTTCCTATTCCCCTTTCCTGATTAGTTGACGGTTCTATGGCTTAAGTCATTTCTTTTTGATATTATTCTACGTTCTTTTGCTGGTTCCTGAGACTGACAGTCCTAACCTCACCAATGCAGAGGCCTCTCCCTCTCATAGCTGAGTCACCTGTGTCTTGCTTTGGTTAATCTGAAAACTGGGCCATTGTCCTCAGAGACTTAAGAAAGTAATTAGATTATCTTTGTGCAGAGTAAGATCATAATAAAGGATTAGCCTTGAAAGAAGGTAGAAGGTTATCAATTCCTGATGAAGTTTCTGATGAGTCTGATGTTCTTCAGCAGAAAAGAGAAAATGTATTGGGACAAGAGACAGAAGAAAATTGTTAATTTTGTTTTAAGTTCTGTTTGACATATTATAATACAACATCAGTGAACAAAAAAGTGTTTTACAATAGATTATTATTATTGTAAAATGGATTTTCCTCTAATTATAGTAAGAGTGCTCTTACTAAACACATAGAATAGAAGTTGCCCAAGGTCACCTGGTTGGGAAGTTGTAGAGCCAGGAGATAAATGGGGGTGTGTTGGATATTCAAGCTCAAGCCCTTAACCACTAGGCACACTGCCTGTCATCAGTTGTCCAAGAAGAGAGGATGCTTCAAGTGGGAGGAAAGGAATGAGTAACAACACAGAGGCATGAAATCAGAAGACATATTCCAGAAGGAGCAAAATCTATTTTGCTAGGGTAGAGGGCTCTTGTGTCTGAGAGACAGAAAAGTAGAGTAGATTTAGTTTATAAAATGCCTTAGCAATTTTCAACCAGCGTGCCACAGAATTTTTGAAACCTGCAATACCTGACTATTT